TGTGGAAGATTTCTTTCTTTACCTTTTGGCTTTCTAGTTCTCAATTAAGACTCTTCACAGGGAATTTTCTAGTGGATTTTCAAGTGTAAAAATGGCCTCTGTTGCACAGCATGCCTAATTCACTGCGCTCCATTCTGCTGGGCATTTTCCTGAGAGGAGTGAGCACTTTCTGAAATTTCCACTGGGAGCCCCTTTCAAACGAATCATGGTTGGACCAGTTCTGCCGTCTCACACTCTTTTCCCAAGGCAGAAAGAAAAAAAAAACATTCTCTATTCAGCCTGTTTAGTGGCAGGCTCTCACAAATATTAAACTTTTTTCAATCTAGAAATGTTTATTAAAATGCCCACTAAACTCAAGACAACTGATTGGATGTTGTGGAAGGAAATAGAGACTGACTTTTATTTATTTGTTTTATAGGTTTTTCCATAAAGCACATGTACTCACCAAACAGAGAGAGACAGAGAGAGGGAAAGTGAGAAATCTTCCCCCAGGTCAGGAGGGTCTCGCCACAATCCCTTCTCCATCTTGGGATTTTGAGCACACATGCACATGCACCCAGCATGGTTTTCAAGCCACCGGGTCTGGGATTCAAACTTCAATCATCCCTGTGGAATTCCAGTGCCTTAACCAGTATGCCACCTGCTGACCTTGGGACATTGTTTTTATTTAGTCAATCTTCACCCTCCCATGTACGAAATGATTTGAAATAGTTTACAACAAAGAGGAGGAGGAGGAAAAGGAAAACAAAAATGAAAAAAGGGGGGGGAAGGGCAGGGAAAAAAAAAACAAAAAACATTGAGAACCGGTAACTTGTAAACAGCACAAGAAAATTGTGACCAAGCTGAAATAGCAACATGAGAACCAAAGCTGACAGTCCTTGAAGATAAACTTCAAGTTCATCTCTGTTTATAAGATCTGGTCCCTGCTCCCTAAAAACTAATAATTAAGCCAAGAGAGGAAAGCATGGTCATAAGTGGTGCCAGCAGGTGGTGTGATGGCTAAGGTGCTGGACTCCCACATGGCTGACCACAGCTCAAGTCCCAGACCCAGTGGATTGAAAATCACAATGTCTGAGCTGGTAGATGGTGTAGAGGTTAAGGGCGCTAGACTCCCACATGGTCAAAAGTGGTTCTAGTCCAAACATGGCGGCTTGCTTTTTCACTTTCCTTCTCTCTCTCTCACTCTGTCCCTCTCTGGTCAAATTAAAAGAAATAAATAAAGTTAAATAAAATAATTCTTTGGAAAAAAAATCACAACAGGCGCATGTACATGCATTCCCCAAATCCCAGGAGGATGGAAGAGAAGGGATTGATTGCAGTGTGGCCATCCCCCCCCGGGGGGGGGCGATCTCTCACTTTCCCTTTCACTGGCTCTCTTTCTCTGCCAAGAGCATGCACTCTATGGCAAAAATATTTAAAGGAAAAAGAAAACTCCTGGACCACAGTCACATACATGCCGGTGCAAACATACGCTGGGTTCACAAGTGCGCCTCATAAGCGGACTCCAGAGAGGCAGTGTAGTGGACTAGCCAGGCACAAGGACCACAGGGTTGAACTGTGACGTCTGAATCCCAGCCCAGCCAAACTGGCTGTGTGACCTTGGTCGAGTCACTTACCCCTAATTATTCACCTAGAAAATGGGAACGATACTCAAACTGGACTTACAGCATTATTGCGAGTAAGGAATCAATCAGTTAAAACAGATAAATGCATTTATTTTGCCAGAAGGCATGTGCCCTAGCCAGAAAGAGAGACAGAGAGAAAAAGAGGGAGAAAGCATCCCCTAATGGAGAAAGGTCAAGCCACAATCCCTTCTCCTCCATTTCGCCATCTTGTCAAGATTTTGAGCACATACACAGATGCACCTGGTATGTTTTTCAAGCCACTAGGGTCAGGATTCGAACCACATTCAGCCACGTGGTATCGGGCTCCCTGAACCACCAGGTCACGAAACTGGCCCCAAACAATGCCTTTAGAACAATGCCTGGGAAAGA